TTTTCTTCTGACATTTGAGTGTGATATGCTACTTTCTGTGTATAAGTATGTCACTCTCAAATGCCAAAATGTTCTCTCCTAGCAGACAAACTCCCTCAGCATGTTATCTCTCGAGGGAGGGAGTTTGTCTGCTAGGAGAGAACATTTTCACGCACCCGAACTATTCTCTCCAGCAAAAAAAATCTCCCCTGGCATGTTAACTCTCTATTTAGCCGATTTCTACTCTTTCCGGCCGCCTCTCGAAGCCTGGTAGAGGCTAAATTATGTGTACTGGGTTGCATGTGATGGCTAAACCCTAGGCCTGTTCGTTCCACTATAAAACTATGGCACAGATCAATAAGGCATCAAAGTCATTTTTTTGTATGGCTTTGGAGCTATTGTTATTTCCATCCTTAAAATAGTCATTTCCATCCTTGAACGCAGTCTCAAGAGCAGAGGCCAGTATTAATTTCTCAACGAACACATTTTTACTGATACAAAATCAATCAATTTTGTAACATTTAGTGACAGAACAATAAGAAATTGAACTATTTATAATCCAGTAACTGAGTAGTGCCCCCCCCATGCAGGCCCATGTGTGAGAATGATGGAAATTATGCCCACTTCAAATATGAAATCCAACGGGACAATTGCTAAAAATCTAGGTCACTTTTTTCAGCCCCAAACAAGAGGAAAAATTAGATGTTAAGTGGTGGTTATTGCTAGGTGGAATAGTAGTAAACAACTATTCATTTACACATCACAAATCTCATTTCAACAGCACCCCTGTGTTTCGTAACAGTCGCAGATTTTTTTTGTGGGCACCATTTTTGCAATGGGATGCCTACTAAGAGATCAAAGTCACTTTTGGGCCAAACCAAATGCTAAAAAAGTTGCTAACGTCATGAATTAAAAAAAAGCATTTAGGAGCTTTTGTGCTCACTACTGACTTTATGATATACTAATTATGCGTGTATTTTTCAAATTGCATAAAAAATGTTTGCCAACATGCAATTTTGTGGGGATTTGAGTCAGGGCTTAAAACTGTATGTTTGCAGAAAGTATTTCCAAATTGCAGAACAATATTGTGACATTTTGCAACATTGCAATACATTGAAAAAAAAAACAGTATTTTAACCCTTGCATTGTAATGTAACAGCCTGTTGCCTTCCGTCCCAGAACCATGGCGTACCACGCTAAGGCTATCCACGGGCTGGGCTGGACGCTGCTGGTCCTGGGGACGCTCAGTATCATCCTCGGTACCGCCGCCGTCGCCACCATGGCGTCCAAGGACCAGCCCACCTTCCTCACCTACATCGCCGGGCCCATCTGGAGCGGTATATTTGTGAGTACAAGCCTTGAGTACAAGCCGTATATAACATATTTGGAGCTACTCTCCAAGCAGAGGTTTGGCAACTGGGTTTGGGGTTATTTTTTTTTGGTGGGAAAAAATCAGTGCAAAAGAGAAACCCCGATAAAAAAAGCCTAAAAACACGTCAAAAATAACCCCAAACCCAAACCTCTAGATCTGCTTGGAGAGTAATTTGGAGCGGCGTATTCGTATTTACCATATATAGCATATCTAGAGTTGGTGTATTCGTAAGTATTTGCCGTATATGATTGTGTAACTTTATATCTGGAGCGGCGTATTTGTAGGTACCTGTACTACATAGCATGCGTGTTTGTGTCTGAATTGGTGTATTTGAGAGAACCTGTCGTATAGTATGTGTTTGTATCTGGAGCGGCATATTTGTAAGTACAAGCCGTATATAGCATGTGTTTGTGTCTGGAGCGGCGTATTTGTGACTAGCTGTCGTATCTAACATATGTTGTATCTGGAGTGGCGTACCTGTCGTACATAACATGTGTTTGTATCTGGAGCGGCATATTTGTGAGTACAAGCCGTATATAACACGTGTTTGTATCTGGAGTGGCGTATTTGTGACTACCTGTCGTATCTAACATGTGTTGTATCTGGACTGGCGTACCTGTCGTACATAACATGTGTTTGTATCTGGAGCGGCATATTTTTAAGTACAAGCCGTATACACTTGTGTTTGCAATTAAAGCGGCGTATTTGTGGGTACCTGTCGTATATGACATGTGTTTGTATCTGGAGCAGCATATTTGTGAGTACAAGCCGTATATAACATCTGTTTGTATCTAGATCTGGAGCGGCATATTTGTAAGTACTTGTCGTATACAACATATGTTTGTATCAGTAGCGGCGTATACTATTATGCATCAGCGTCAGGCATTACGCTAAAACGGGGAATTCGAAGGTGACTACTTAGTGTGTACCCCTGGCGCTTCTGAGCAGCATTGCAGCATCCAATAAAGCCGGAAACGACTCATGGTAATGACTCGGTGAGGACAGAAATACCTTTTGCTGGTCCCATAATGCTACAATTTACGTCAATAACTGATATTTGATATTTCAGGTTCTGATCACTGGGATCCTGGGTGTCGTAAGCGGAAGGAAGCCTACAAACAAATGTCTGGTGAGTAGGTATAGAGTGCTATTCTACACTTACAGGTCAGCCTAACATGTAGTTGGGGAAGCAATTATTCTCACGCACAAATTACAAAAAGGTTGTCAGACTTTTCAAGTAGCATTCACTACTTTTTGTCACTGATAAAACGTCTGACAGTTTTCGAAAAATATCCAGTTCCTTGAATAAACGTTTCCTTGCGTAGAATCCATATCATATGTTATCTGCTCGTCAATGACTAGCTTAAAAATCTTTAAAATTCATCTGTGATAGTGGACGTCATTATACCGTAGGTTTAAACTGTAATTTCTAACGCGAGAAATTAGGCTCATCCAAATTTTGGACTACATTAACTTCAGTCTTTGTCATGGAATGAGCAATCCACTGCTTCTGTGACGTCATGTAATGCAAATGACACACGTGACTCGGTGAGCAGTCTTCCCTCAACGAAGACGGGGGGCGACACAGACTTTCTGCAACCTACGATCCACTGCTCACCGAGTCACGTGTGTCATCTGCATAATATGACGTCACTGAGGCGGTGGATTGTTCATTCCTTGACAAAGACTGGAGTTGCGCAGTCGTAAGTCCTATTTCTTGTATTGGAAATTACAGTTGAAACGTACGGCATATTGATGATGTTGCTTTCGAGTTTCATGGTTAAAATGTTCCCTCAGATCGTGGCGTTTATGGTGCTGGGAATCTTCACCATCCTCGCGACCTTCTGCAGTTTCGGCTTGGCGGTGACCGGAGCGATCGTGGACAGCTGCTACCGGCACTGGCTTGATTATCCAGACTACCACGACTACGTGTTCCCTTCTGACTACGATTACTACAACGGCACTGCCACGAACTTTACTACGGTCCATTATTTGTAAGAAGCTTTCCTTTCCTCTATATAGTAGAGGGAATTCATTCCTCAAGCTAACCGACATCTCACACACGCAGTCGTCCCTCAGTAAGACACCTGGAGCCGCATAGTTCTTGTTTAGAACTTTTATTCAGCCTGTCACTCGACCGGTTTTGCCTGTGTGGCTTCTTCAAGTGTACAGAGGCTCAATGACACAAGTGCGCGAAGTTCTCACTTATATATACCTTTCCAGTGCATAGTGCCCTCAGGTTAGTAACGGTCTCGGACAGGATTTTTTTTTTTTCACGATTGTGTCCACTGCCAGAGGGTAACAAAATTCCCTCCATCTATTCCTACAACACTGTAAAAATTGAAATATTATATATTTGAATGATATCTGGCCTCCTAGCATACTGAGTTATATTGTTACTTTTTTATACTGAGATCAGCCTAGGTAAAGGATTATAGGTATGAGAGATTTCTGTGATTTGTGACTTTATTGTGTTATGATGTGTGTATGTTTTTCATAATGTGGGGCCCAACATCAGCTCGGCTGCCAGGGTTTCCACTGTATTGCAGTGTGGCAATTTAAATAAATAAATAAGTAAATAAAACAAACTTTTTTTTTTCAAAATCTGGTGAAAATCAATGCGCGCGCTGATGTTATCCATAAAAATTACTTGCTGTAGCCTAATGTTTTATTTTTTTTAATTTCCTACAGTGACATTGATCGTCACCCACCTAAACCGGTACCCGGCTACAGCGATGAGGATGACTGCACCACCACGGCTAAGGCTCTGCATGGGGTTAACGCGCTGCTGGCGTTCGCTGAACTGGTTCTGGGGTTCGTGGTCTCCATCATGTGCTGCTGCGGACTGTGCAGTGCCACTAACACACCGGTCAGTCAACAATTCCTTATCAATCTTTCGTGATTCACCTGCCTATACTATACACGAATGTGCCAGCTATTTTTAACGGTGTCGCTCAATGCAAGGCCAATCATTTTTGGCCACTTCTAGGCATAGATCTAGGGGTATAGAACTGTAACAGCAACTCTTCTCCCTGAGTCAGAAACATATTTTTTGTTCAGTTTCTTCTTCTTTTTCTTCTCCAAAGATGACCCGGCCAATGGACTCATTTCTTGACGTCTGTCACCATTGTAGCCGGTGTCCGGTTACATGATGTTGCAATTTCATAGTAGGCATTTAGACTCCTGTCACCATATACATGTATGTGAATGTGTTTGAGTAAGAATTAACAGAGCAGTGCAGACCATATGCGAAGGTAAACATTATGCATTGCAAATGCTTTGCAAATGTTACTTTTCTAGTTCTTGTATGTTTGTGCACTTTTATTACACTAGGATTAATGTGCATCGGTATTCAGCCAGCCCCCTTACCCTCCCCCATGCTTTTCACACTCAATGGCTTGACAGCATCATAACGTAACATCGACTCCCTTCACATGATTCTGAATATTTTCTAGATACTACAGATTAAGGTCCTTTTCCCGATAGGATAGAGTTCTCCGGGTTAAGCCAAATAGATTTGGCTTTTATCCGGCTCGATCCAGGTATTTCTGTCCTAGTGGAAATAAAACCGTCCACCCCAACGCGAGAAACAGCTGCGAACATGAAAATCCCAATCTCATACAATACCGGAAGGAAGGATGTCTCATTCCCCGAAAGGTAAAAAGGCCATAGTAGGGCGGCCAATAGTTACAGATTGCAAACATAGACTCCACAGAATCTGCATGAATAAGCGGTTATAAAATGATTAGGTTATCAGATATTAATAACTCTGCTCTTGGCTTTATTTACTCACAGAATGTGATCTACGGTCCTGGCGTGGCTCCAGCACAGATCATGTCGGACGGACAGGGCGGGTTCATCCTACTGCAAGCAGGTAGGTTCTTTGACGACTTTTGAGGTTCTTTCCTTCGTGCTTTTTCGTACCATGGTGCCATGTATGTATAGCCTCTACCAGGGATCGGGAGACGGCTGAAAAGAGTAGAAATATTGGCCAAAAAGAGAGATGACATGCCAAAGGTCAGGAGTTGGTCAGCTAGAGAGTACTTTCACGGTCGATGTTCAGGAGAACTTGCACTTCTTGTTCCACCGCTCAGAACCTTTCAGCGTGCCACTAGGTTCTCTTCCTGCTCTCATCAATACACCGTCAACATACCTGTCTCAAAGTCATTTTACAATAACAGCTTCTTTCCCCGGACTGCAAAATTATGGAACTCTCTTCCAAACAGCTGCTTTCCGTCCGATTAAAACCCACAAAGCTTCAAAACAAAGGTCCACCGCCATCTCCTGACATAACTACATTATACTCACTTAAGTACCTCTAGCTCTATGCCCAAAAATAATTGGCCTTGCTTTGAGCGACACCGTTAAAAAAAAGTACAGTTTAGGTACTAGCTACCCAACTCCTCTGGCATGTTATCTCTCTTTTGGCCAATTTCTACTCTTTCCAGCGGACGCCTGGTAGCGCTAATGTATTCCTCAAACCAATTAAGCGACATCTATCACGCCCTTCAGTAAGACATCTGGAGCCGCTTGGAACATTTGTTCAGCCTTAAAAACGGTTTTTTCACCTTGCGGGCTTCTTCAAGTGTGTAGACGCCAATATATATGGCACAAATTCACACTTTTATACCTTTAGCCTTGTTTGTAGATATCATTGAATCATTGTAAGTTCATATAGCTAAAAAGTAGATATATGGTCTGTGTAAAGATGCTTAAAACGAGTGAAAAGTACTGATATGTTGACTTCTGTTTGTTCCAGTGCCTGCTTCGCGACAGTTCGGAGCTCAGCAGCAGGTGTTCCTGGCGCCACCTGGCGGTCCACATGCGCCTCTGCAGGTGTACTACACCGGGGGACCGGCACCGCCGCAGTACGCCCAGCCGGGCGGGGTGGGGGCCGCTGCAGCACCGCCGCAGTACGCCCAGCATGCCGCTACCCAGGCGACAGAAGCGCCGCCCATGGAATCTAAGACTCCACTCTCTGCATAGACTCTGCCATTACTGTGTTATACAGATGCCAGATATGTACGTACAGGAGAATAGTCCAGCAATTCTCTACGTACCATAACTAAGTCATGATTATACATGTAAGGTGACAGATTTCTTTCCGATTGTTTTGTGAATTGTATTCTGTGTAAATGAGTATCTAAAAGGTACGTTAAGATACTTATACCTAAGTTAGACCTTAAAATTCTTTGAAACCAAGATATTGTAGGGAAAACTTCGCTATAATAGTCCGCCATCTTGACTTTGCTTCCGATGTCACCTGATCGTGGTGCAAGTCACCAAATTAGTAAGGATCGTATGTATTCTGCGTAATGAATCGTATGTATTCCGTAAACTTCGTATGTTTCCTAGTAAGGATCATATGAATTCAGTAAAATTCTGATGAACTCCTGCAAAATATGGCCCCTTATATGTGTTTAAAAGCTTGAGCATGTTTGTTTAATTAGTGGTAGTACCGGCCGCCTGTCAATCATAATGTCAGGAATGTTTGATGACTGCAAAACAATGGAAATAGGTAATAATTACACAGATATTAAATCACAGATACAAAAATATAACATAATGCTCCTTTCACTAACATGCTATTATCTTTTTAATCAGACGTATTATTAAAGAACAGCATAATATCTATGTTTTAGCTGACAGTGTATAAATGGGCTTGAAGTCTGCAAAATGCCCGGCGTGTTTATTTTGTTCCATTTGACAACGCTGTACGTACAGAAAGTTTAAAGTTGTAACTACCAAAATTTTCTGCGTTTACATTGATTTGTATGAGAAACGTTTTCCTATGCAAGCCACATTATATGTTTATTATGTCAAGGTAAAACACTTTCAAGACCTCTTACCTTCGCCAAGTGGTATTCACCTTTAACCATGAGGTTTTTTAGAGATTTCTTCTTGACTATGCAAATAAAGTCCTGATTTGTAAAGTCCCGTTTGTGTTAATCGTTAGTACTGTCTACGAATAGTAGTACGGCTAACTTATTAGAATGGTCTGGTGGAAATCAGTTGCTCTGGCAGTATAGTAACTACTAGTAGTTATGTTTGTACGTTCGCAGCCGTAACTCGTGAAGTCTTCGTGAACGGCAAGGTCAGCAGTTGGCAGTTGCTCACGTCAGGGGTACCGCAGGGAGGGGTGTTGTCGCCCTACTTATTCCTCCTGTACATGAGCTCCCGCTCCACAGTCTATAATGAATGAATGAACGAATGAAGACCTTTATTGTACATTTTTGCCCCACTGGGCTAAGAACAGGTCACATTATACATATTCGAATACATATTCATATAAATATACATATAACTATTACATGTACATGTATATATAAATGCCTAATGCATTCTAGTCTTTTCAACTTCTTCTCGTTTCTTATGTAATTCTATAAATGTAAGATGCTGTATGTGTAGTTAGATTTGGTTTATCAAAGGTTAACAGGAATATAAGTTTTTCTTTACTTGTTAAGAATCCGAAGTGGGGAAATATAATTAAAACATGTCCGAAGAGTATGCGTCTATCACTGTCATATAAAGGACAATTGACACCCTAGATGTGGGGTATGCCGATGACGTTGGCCTGTCCAGGTCAATCCCCTGTCGGTCATGTGGTGTAGACAACACTATGTCAGCGGAAGCGTTGCAACTCGACACGTGGGCTGATCAAAATGATATGATACTGAACGGTAAAAAAAGAGTCAGCAGTTGCAGATCTGCTTCAGTAGGAACGCTCCTGTACCCCCACCCTTGTCTCTTGGAGGCGAACTTTTTCCTGTTACAACAACTGCAAAGGGCCTCGGGTTTACTACTTTTGACAGTACTTTATCCTGGCAAGCACATGTAAAGTCATCAGTTTCCAAGGCCTCCAGCAGGCTGCATTATCTGCGGTTATTGACAAAACAAGGAATGAGTGTCGCCGACTTGGTGCAAGTGTATCTGTCGTTGATTCGCCCTATACTAGAGTATGGTCATGTTTTGCTTGTTGGCTGTAGTGACGAGCTGTCCACTAGTATGGAACGAGTACAAAACGCGCTGTGCGCATCATCTCCCTTGGGGGAAAGCGAACAGTCCCAAAGCTCCCTTCTTTGAAAGAAAGGAGGGAAGTGGCTGCTTTGAAGCTGTTCACAGCTATGATAAAGCCTGAGCGCCCACTACATGACCTAGTGCCCCCCTACGGCTACAGGTAGATGCTTGCAGAACGACAGTGCCTTCACTGTGTCAAAAGCCAGGACTGAGCGACTGAAAAGGTCATTTGTTCACTGTGCAATAAAACTGTATAACGAGTCTGTTTCATCAGCTACCCCATGCTGTATCTGCGTCCAATTTTGTTATCTTTAAGCTGTATTTCACTACTGTTTATTGTTCATTGATTGTATTGTATTATGTGTTGATTGTAACAAACTACCCGCTTCAGGGAGACTTTTGTCTTACCCTGCATATGTATGTTTGTGGTTGGAAAACCAATAAAGACGTCGTATAAAAGCAAAATCCAATCAACACTTCGTTTCGTTCCACCCGTCTTCGCAGGACGTGAAGTACTAAACCGCCACCTAGCGGTTTCCAATATTATTGTTGTACAAACATGATGATGTCATCTCCCCTATCCTGTAATTTCACCTGCGCAGTTAGATGCCAGGTACGACCAAGGAGCTGTGATAAAAGCTCCTTGGTACGACCGAGCACGGAAAGGTGTGCTCCTTTTACACCCTCCGGAGTTCCGACGCACAGGAGACCGAACCCGTAACACCCCCGCCAGGACCCTCCAACACACCAGGGCCTCCTCGGCACACCAAGCGACCCGTCCCGACGGTAGTAGTGCCAGGTCACCGCCCAAGGACTGACTGAATAAACAGGTAAGAACGGGCGAGTTTATGTTGTCCGCCATACTGAATCCAAACTAACTACGAAGGCCTGCTAGGAGGGAGGGGGGGGGGGCGAGTTGTGTGTGTGTATGT